GCTACAGAAACTTCCCATCCCACTCAGGCTGTGACCCTGAGCTCAACGATTAGAGGACACAGAAGCTTCCCAACTGTCACTCAGGCAATAAACAGCCAGTCGAATTGGCTCAACAGGTCCCCTGCAGCCCTGGGGTCAGGCCAGAACCCAGAAACACGCCACTTTCAGGTTCTGAAGGGGAGGGGGCTCTGGCTGGGGGCTGCGGCACCCCTGAGTCAAGCCTGCTGACCGGGCTCGGGCCGGTGGCCAGACAGGCTCAGCTGACCAGCAAGTGGGCGGCCCGAGGCGGCCAGGCAGCCCGATCCGAGGCAGGAAGACCGTCCACGGGTCAGCGGGCTGCGGGCTGCGGACTCCGGGATGGAGACCCGGGGCTGCGGGCCGAATCGGTGCCACTCTCCCGATCCCCGATGCTCGGTGCGTCTCCCGTAGACCGCGGGACTCGGCAGCCCTTCGCCCGCCCCTGCCGCTGCCGCTGCCGGGAACGCGCCCGCCGGCTCCAGAACTCGCACAGGCAACAAGTTCTCGCTTCCTCAGGGCGCCACGATGTGCCGGGAGGCCCGGCACGGGGGGCTGTCAGGGGGTGACCCCGGCGATGCACACGCCCCAAGGGGCGCCCGCTGCCTTCAACGTCCACAGGAGCGCGGAACTACGAGTCCGGCGCGCAGAGGCTGCCCTCGGAGCGCCCGTCGGATAGGGGCGGCTCCGGCGGCCCCCGGGCGGGCAACAGGTCTGCGAGCGCGCGGAGGACCGCAGCCCCGGATCTCCCAGGCCCCTGCCCTCGCCCCCTTACCTCCAGCAGCTGCACGTAGCTGGCTGGGAACCAGCCGCGGAGCCCGTCCTCCTTCTCGCCTTCCCACCAGCCTCCGTCCGGGACCTGCAGCAGCGTGATCAGCTCGCCGGCGGCAAAGCGCAGCCCCTGGCCGTGCCGCTCCCCGGAGAAGGGGTACAGGGTCCGGCAGCGGGAGCCGGACATGGCCTTGGCGCCCGGGCTCACAGCGCAGCCTGCATCCCTGCCGAGCCCCGCGGGCTGGGCAGTGGCTC